TTAGAAAGAAGTTCGAAAGAACAGTCAGCGATCGTTCTCCGACAGTCTGTCACCGATTCTTATAGACATGTCAACATCCCACAGTAAATAGTAGGCCAAGTGTGTTGTCAAACCGGGTAGGCTTTTTGACGTGCTGTACCCATGCAAGTCGATCAAGGGTAGACAGAAGATGGTTACGTTGTTGTGGTTCACTGTTAAGGAACCAGGGTTTTCAAAGGTGGACTTGAAGTGCCAGTGTTGGGATGAGCAATACCATAATAATTTCACTTGCGTTTTGTTAGTGAACGAGAGGCAGACAACCAAAGAAAGTGTTTATCAAGTCATCGGTTACGGTGACTGGGGATGATGGGAGTATGGAAATAAAGCCTAGTAAGAAGTTTGTTGGATAATTAGAAATGGTAATCAACACCGAATCAGGGACTTTCAGAAGGGGTGATTTATTCGGAGAAAAAACCAAGTATGTGGCTTGAACGTATATTGGACAGCCACTATCTTTCCCAGAAGGAAGAAAGATATTATATCACAAAGAGTATGTCCGGTATTTTAGGTGATAACCATATTTTAACATTAGCAATACAACAAGAGAACAAAGGTGAAGAAGATTGTACAGGAAATGCATTTAATTTACCAATGAACGAGAATTTATTAAGAGTAAGTGCAGTATCAAGTTCTCCGTTCGGATGCCTAGTGGCGTTCAGGTAGAGGACTTCAATGAGGTGGCATTTTGTAAGGGTGGAATAGGGGTGGTGGATACGGAGGAAATACAATTTGCGGAATTAGTGTCAGTAGAGGAGGTGGCGTTTAAATCGCCACAGAACCATCAAAATGTTGGAAAGACAAAATACTGGGGAATTCCGACCCACTGTGAAACTATAGTTTGCTGGCTGCCGAACATAACCTACCTGTCAGTAACGGTTGGTTAGCTACATATTGAGAAAACTTTCGATGATTCTAATTTTACCGAATTCGCTCTGTTACGTGAACTTCGATAGTTGTCGGCTCGTAGTTTATGAAATGCACCGGTTGCTTATTTAAGTGCTGTGCTGGGTAGAGTGCACAATGCAGCGGTACGTTCGACCTTACTGTACGGTTGCGAAACCTGGCCCCTTAGATCAGCAGATATAAAGAGGCTAGTTACATTCGGCCATCGGAGCCTTCTCAGTTTAGCTCACCTCTGGTGGGAACATCGCGTGAGCAACGAGCGGGTTCGACGCCTTGTTTGTGGCACAGGAAAAGGAACTGAACCGCTCAACACCGTAATTTCACACACCAGGCTCCGATAGCTCGGCTACGCGTTACGCATTCTAGCCCCCGGCTCCCATGACGTGCGTAGTTTGCTCACCGGGGATGTGGATGGAAGAAGAGGAGAAGTGGCCAAGCAATGACTTGGTCGAAAGGAACGAAAGCCCTCACTTCGGAGCTGGCCTCGGTTGGAGCGTCACGGCTCCCTGGTTGGCGTCCAAAAGACGATGAACACGTTTGGCTAGATCCACTTGCTGATTTGGCTAGGAGCCAACCTCAGTGGCGTTCCTGCTGTGAGTTTCTTTGGTCCACCCCATCCCTTTTAGCCTCCCCTCCGACAACAATCTTAGTTCGTAGCATGATATAATTTTATACGATAATTTTTTGTTACCTAGTAGCCGGCTGCTAACTTTCCGGAACAATGCCCATCCGTTGCTGGTAGCTCAGCTGGCATGCAACTGTTGTATTTATTTTCTCTTTTCTTTTGGTATTGCGGCACAGTAGCTGGGGTGCTTTAAACCTCTAGCCAACGTGTATAATGAGGATGATGAGGGATATGCCAATGGGCCCTAGAGTTTCAAAATTGAGAAGGTTTGGTGAAACGTTTGAATGAACCGTGTTTTTATTTTGCTTAGCATCACTCGTATAAAAGCTATTGGAGAGCTTACTACTGACACTCTTTATAAGGGTAGTTGAGGTAGTTAAAAGTGCACTGTTTTTTGGCCAGTAGATACTTGGTTCTGTACCGAGGGAGTGTTCGCTTTCAGAGAATTTATACTCCTGGTCAGTGAACGACAGAGTGGGCAGAAACAGGCTTTTTGCAGTGTAACTTACTTGTTTGTTCGGGGAGGAGTTGAACAGTAATGATGGGCCAACGTAACACTGACTGGAGTTGGAAGCGATCTTTTTACGACTGTTAGGATTCGAGTTCAACGTTAGAGTGGAACTATTAATGATTAAAGTGCCACCTAGGTCAAGCAGAGGGATAGCTTGACGTGTTTTCGTGAGTAGCGGAACAAATTGGTCACAAATTGTCTATCGGTGATAAGGTTTTTTTGTACTTTCCATTTATAATTGTCAAATCTGGTTCCAGTATTAGAAATTTGTAGGCATATGTACTCACATGGTATTGCCATGACTGCGTCTTTCAATAACCACAGATCTCAGCAACCCGCAGGAGCAAAAGAAGAGCGATGCTTACACTGATGACGCAACAATTAGCAGATATCAAGAGAGCGTTTGAAGATCCCCTCCGAGTAAGTACTCCTTCACACGCCAACCCGTGACAAAACAAAGGTGGCTCCAAGTAAAAGTAGCTTGCATTAGATCTCTTACCTGGCATGAACCGGATAAATGAGTGTAGGTGATGCGGCTAAAACGCTTGGATATGGACGTGAGACAGTCACAAGAACGAATGTTAGTTTTCAATAATTGCAGTTTGACCGAACGGAAGAACAGAACACTAAAAAGGGCGCAATGAGTATAGGAAACGCTAAAAAAAGCTGTAATCTCCAGATTAGGACGTTGAACATGGTGTATGAAACGGCTTAAACGGACCAATCTTGTGCTACACTCACCATAGACCAGTCACCAGAACTGTTTTGGCCCCACGGATTAACAAAAGTATGTGACACTGGTAAGTACGATCGGAAGCTCCATAGACGAGAAGGGATTGCACGCACAACTGAAACGTGAGAGCAAATAGTGAGGAAAGTGCATTTGCACTGGTTACTTTGAAATATAGCTAGGGATTTAATAATCATCAGTACACATGACAGATTTCATTGCCACATCGTAAACATTTCAGAGTTTGGATCCCGACTCCTCCCTGGTTCGTCTAAGTTCGAAGCTCCTGGACGGCATCACTCGTAGCACTACACAAGATGAGGGAGAAGAGAGCAAATCCAGCACATATGAAGACAGGTAAGCATACCGCTTAAGCAGAGAATGAAATGGTATCATTACTGAAAGACTGAAAGAAGGACACAAAACTGGATGTAACGGATTTAGACTGAACATCTGGTGTGATAGACGTGGAGTCCTGACCGATGTGCTCCCGTGATTCACAAACTAGAGGCGCGACCCGCCTAACTTTTATTTTGTTAGACGATTGTAGCCGTAAGAGACATGGGGATCAATGAACAACGTAACAGACTACAGACTAATCTAGAGTGTATCGAAGACTATCAGGGAATAACCCACTTAACTAGTAGATGGAAAACTGCAAAAAAGTTGATTTCGACATCGGTCGAATCTTCATGAGTTTCGAGTGTAGCATTGGATGAGTAGGAAGCAAGATGACCTCTATTGATTATGAAAAGTGGTAACGTATGTGGATGCCTCAAAGCATATTTTATTCCAAATCCAACGACATACTATCCTAACGATAAAAAAACAAGCGTCCATTTCGACCGTCTGTAGTTAGAACTCCTCAAGCACGAAAAGGTGGAGTAACCTAAATAAAGTAAAAGCCTTAACAGGTACTAAGAATATACTGTTGAAGTGTCATGCCCGAATAGCACGCGATAGTCCGCATGGAACTGTACATAGTAACAACGAAGAGGATAAAAGCATAATTCTCTAACAAGCGCACCATCTATGTGGTTGGAGTGCTAACTGCTCAGCACTGCAGTTTTAACCGTCAAAATAGACGGTTTTGTGGCAGACACTGGAGCACCAGTTGAGAACAGAGGTTCGTTCGCACTGTTAATGACACAGTACCCGAGTAAAAAAGGAGGAATAAAACATAGATGTTAACCGGGGACATCATATAACAAATAGACGGAAGGAAATGTGCATGCATTTATGCAATTGAATTTAAGAGTCAGGTGATGAAATGCGTAACAAATGTTTGTCTATACTTTACAGCAAGCAGATTCTGGCATATGAAACGGGGAAAATACCCATCAGTCACAGAGGTTTCGCAATCGCAAATGCATTGAGCTTAAGAAGAAAAACCTTGCCAACAATACAACGGCGTCAACCCTCCAAAACGTTCGACTCCATCGACGAAATCTTAATGCCACTCAAATCTCCCACGTTGCCGAAACTCCGAGGTAGATCGTTGAGCCGAATGGCGCCGCAACAAAGTCGAGAAGTGCTCACACTGACACCCCTACGTACGGTTGATGCAGCTGACAAAAGTAACATAGTTTATCAGCCGCGCTCCTTGGCTTTGGTGGCGAAAGTTGGGGAGACACAAACGATGCCGCAGGCAGTAACGGCCGCATTGAAACAAAAGGCAGTAACGAGTAAAGAAAAAGAAAAAATAACACATGAAGCCTTGGAGAGTGTATTAGAAGTGCACAGTCCAGTGGGAGTGAGCGAAACATCGGAATTTACAGGGGTCCAGACGCAAATGATGATGACAGAGCCGACGAAGCAACGTGGGTCAAGCGTGACGAAGGAGCAAACAATAACCGATTTGCATCCGGTTCAGGAAATGGAACAGAGCATGCATGATGTCGTTCCAACAATTGTGGCTACAGCACCAACTTCAGATACAATGAAGTCAGTCACTCCAAAGGCCGGTACTCCGGTAGAAGAAAGCAGCCCGGTACCCGAATGGCACGCACTATCTACATCTAAACTGGTATCAAGTACAGAGTCCATTGCACCGCATGAAACGAGTGAAAGGCTGAAAGCCAGGATAGGAGTGACAGAAGCGAAATTTGAAATCGAACCAACGAGTTCAGAGCCGGTTACCGAGTTCGATTCAATGCATAAGGTAACCGGCGTATGGACTTGGTTGGATAACATGCTGGCGGCAACAGCTCGAGGAACCACAAGACCCCATTCAGTATTGAAGTCGGTTAGACTGGAAGCAAAGAAGAGAGCCATGCGTGGATACGAAATGACAAAACCAATAAAAATGATAGCTATGCTTGAAGAAAAGGTGGCACGTCTGCAGCATTTGGTTGATGATATAGAGGAGACCGAAAGCTGGCACCCAACCATGTTGCGCGCGGAGTCAGACAGATCAGGTGAGAGAAGAACATTTTCTCTGGATGAAGAATCATTCATTTCCATATCTCAAAGAGAGGAGAAAAGGACAGTCGACGTAGCGACTTTCGGTAGAAAGAGAGGAGAAACGAGAAGACGAGTTCAGAGCCGCAAGGATGTCCAAATGGCTGTAGGCTTAAAGAGCATTACACAGCCTTCTCTCGCCAAAGTAGGTGCAAAGTCATACGGACGTGGACGTCACTTTGCGGACAGTATCATCAGCACAGAAACCCCAACTGCTGACATGAGGGCAGCTACCAAATATTTGCAAGCGGTGATGCCACCGGGACACTTGACACGATTGTTAGCTGAAATTCGTGACGAGAAGGGTTCACCCGACGCCGTCGCTATGTTGGAACGGGCGTTTACACAGGCTGCTCGGAGGACACCAGAAGCTCAGGAACAACTGTGAGTTAACTTATTATTGGAAAATATTAAGCACCCAACAACACAGTTTTAAGGTCAAATGATTACTTATCATATACAAATGAACATGAACTCGAAACCGCAGGAAATGATAGTTTGTAAGGCAGTTGCCGACACTGAACAAAGGTGATGAGGCCGGGAGAGACTTCTTGCCACATGGTAGTGGATTACTAGGTAGTTGTGACCATAAGCGAAAATATTCATATAGGAAAGCACGGTTTCATCGCTCAGTGGGAAGTAACAACCGAGTATGCGTGCGAGGGACGATGATTTAAGGAGACATACCGTCTGTTTATCGGACGTTAAACACATTTGGTAAGGTTAGCGCAGAGAAGTGTTTCCATCTGTGGCAGCCAGTATATATATGGGCTAAACCGATTAACATTTAAACTAGATCTTTTTAAATTGGATCAAAGTTACTTCACTTTATTTGATTGGTTCAGTTCTGTTCTTTTGCTGCATCTTCTGTGTCAATTTTGCGCGTTTGCCCACCCTCAAATTCTAAGTTGGTTGTTTGATAGCCCCTGTGTGGCTGCGCTTGATGTGTGTTGACAACGTGTCTACCTGTCTATTACCCTCCACCCCGATTGCTGGCTCCAGAAGACTGCGAATCGTTGCTAGGGGGGACGGGGTGCACGGTCCTCGCGATCATGCTAGGCTCAAAGTGTGGTTCCATCCAGTGTGGAACGGACTACGTCTGGTACGCATGATTCCTCATATAGATAGACAGGAACGCTGATAGTGTTTATGTTGAAGGAGCGTGGGCCGGTTCCGTTAATGAAACCTGGCTCCCATCCACAGGCCTCCCGGTCTTATTCCTTCGGGTTAACACTGGATATGGGGTGTGTGGATGGAGCCATGGGTGGTGCAGGGCAAGCCACCCATGGTCCCACTGTAGGTGCAGACGCCAGGTGGCTGTCCTAAGGAGGCCACAGTGACAGGCAAATCAGGGACCGGATGCCGCTGACCACCGTCCTCCTGCAGCTTGCCTTAATCAGCAAGCCGAGTCTCAGAGTGCGGCATTATCAGCGCCGTAGCGACCGAGTTCCATCACGACCAATACAGTGCGTCGCTCATTCCTGTTTCGGTCGATTAATGTGCGCACATTCCAGCATCCGATGTTGAGCGCTTTCCTCACATGCATACGATTTCGTCAGGCTGTCGCTTGGGTGATCAGTTGAGGTGTGGGAAGACGTAGAGGATCAGGTGAAATGGGAGAATGCACATTTGGAAGAAAAAGAAGCAAGTAGGTCAGTGCAAGCAGTTGCATCCTTTCGCCTTCCCCACACCCGCTGTATGCAGCATATAAGTCGACACTTTTCGCTCTATCGCTGTACAACATTCGACCCGGCATGAAATTATCAGTATTTGTGTAGTCCATATTTAATAGGCTGATATACTGCCATGGCGTCCACAGCTGAACATCCTGGGTCCTCAGTCAAGGTCTTCGAGAAACTACACTCATTAAGTATTACAAGAAATGCGCCATGAGCCAATCGACTTACGCGGATATATATATATATATATATATATATATATATATATATATATATATATGGTTGGCGGCATCCGGTTTCGGATTTGCCTGTCACTGTGGCCAGCCACAGGACGCCTGCGCCTACAGAGGGACCATGGATGGCTTGCGCTGCACCACCCACAGCTCCAACCACATACCCCATATCCAGTGTAAACCCGGAGGAATAAGACCGGGAGGTATGCAGATGGGAACCACGTTTCATCAACGGATCCGGCCCACACTCCTTCACAGGCAAACACAAGCACGCTGTATTTGGGGAATCAACCGCACACAAGGCGGTGGCTGGACCGTAGTCCGCTCCACACTGAGTGCATGGAACCACTCTCCGAGCCTAACACAACCACAAGGACCGTGCCTCCAGTCCCCTCCAGCAACGATCAACTGTCTCCTGGAGCCAGTATGGACGAGGCAGTGGGTAATAGACAGATAGGCACCTTGTCAACATGCACATCAAACGCAGCCACACCGGGGATATCAAGCAACAGCCATTCAGTTGAAACGACAAGATAAAATAAAATAAATCCAGTAATGCATACAGATACGGTGGCATACTTCTTCGCTAAATTACCATATGAAGCAAGTTGGTTAGCAAGTAATTCGCGATAAGTAAGAAACGTCCACAAGTTACTTAAAAATGCTACAAACGCAACAAGGTTACCGAATATAAGCGCAATTAGCGTAAGCGAAGTGGCCAGTTAATAGATTATTCAGGGAGGCAGAACAAACCAAATAAAGTGGAATGAAATTTGTGCATCTTAAAACAACCTAGTTGAAGTGTAAGTTGGTTTAGCCCAACTGCGGTGAAGAAGCATCAAGAATGTAACATCATGGTCGCATTGGAACTCCGTCGCTACGGCGTTGATATTGCCGCACTTTGTGAGAATCAGCTTGCTGATTAAGGCAAGCTGTACGAGGACGGTGATGGCTACACATTCTACTAGGTAAGAAGAGCCACCAGAGCACCATGTGAGCAAGAGGCCAGATTTGCTCTGTCCGGCTGACTAATTGCCCATCTGACGGAAGAGCTCACTGTCATCAGTCCACGATTGATGATATTCCGCCCACGCCTCGGAAGCTTGCAGTTTTCTTCCGCACATATGGTCGTACCACGTGTTATTCCGACGACACGAAGGAGCGGTTTGACTCTCCGTGACACGATCCGTGTAGAAGACTGATGGGCCATTCCTACTGGATGGTTTTGATGTATGCGTTAGGCGTGATGGCACGGTGTGGCCAGATGCAATCCGGCCCCATAGTGTCGACTCAGCTCAGAAGAACGGTGACCGCCTACTTTCGCTGTGTGTCAGTCACGGCCTGATGATTAAAAACACCGTTCCCAATGGATGCGAGCGACATTGCAATTTGGACGCACCTACGGTGGTCATGCTCACCTGCGCGACTATGTCATCGTACACCAGCGTGGCATGCGTGAACCGTGCATAACACGTGTACTGCGTGGAGCTAATCACCTGCTGGTGCGTATCCAGCTGTACGTATATTTCTTGCTTATAAAAATCCCGTAGTAAGAGCAGAAGCCCGGGAAAGAGAACATATGTTTTCGATGATTGTCATCAGGTCTATACAATTATGAGTAAAGCAAAATGTGCAGACAGAGCAGTCGTTACTCCTGGAGCAAGCTACTCGGGTACTGACAATGCTGTCCGTTAGGTAAAGAGAACCGTCTGCCCACAACTTCGCGAGTGAAAGATTATCACGAGTTTGAGCAAAGATGGCCCCAAACCTCCAGTTAGCCTCTTCTGAACACACTGCTCTGATTCATACAGCCGAAGCTCAATCACCTCAGCGGACGCAGTTCAATCTGTTCGTGGGGGCCTGGTAGACATTTCGAAAGTGTAGCCTAGCTTGGTGGCATTACCTGTGTCGGCTAGATGCGCGGCTATTGGGGAGTTGGCCCTTTTTCTGCTTCCAATTTCAAGTCAGGCCGGGTGATGTTCGTTCACTCTCTAGAATAGGTGCATTGTCATAGGACCAATGTATACTGCTCCACAAGAACATGGAAGTGAGTAGATACACACTGTGTGAACATACTTCTTGCCTTTTGAGTTTGGTGTTACCATCGGAGTGCTAGTATACTGGATTTGGTTGTGCTGCTGGACAGGTGC